TTTGTTGTTGTTGTTTTTGGGTAGTTGTTGGGTGATGGAACCGGGAATATTTTGGGTTGTTTTTGGGTAGTTGTTGAGTTGTGGAACAGGGCATGTTTCGGTTGTTTTTTTGTGGTGGAACAGGGCATATTTTGGGTTGTTTTGCGGTTTTTATTGTTGTTGTTTTGGGGTAGTTGTTGGGTGGTGGAACAGGGCATATTTCGGGTTGTTTTTTTGTGATGGAACAGGGCATGTTTCGGGTTGTTTTAGTTTCCCTGGATGGTCCGGCTCCGGTCTGAGCTGTGGCTTTTGCTCTGCGGCAGGTGGTGGAACAGGGCATGTTCGTGAAGCACTGCAAGGTGGAGGTGTACCTGACGGAGCTGAAGCTCTGCGAGGACAGCAACATGGACAACGTGGTCACCCGCCGCTTCAGCAAAGCCGACACGATAGGTAGGAACCCCGCCGCTGCTCAGATATTCACAAAAAAAATGCGTACCGGCCGGCAGGAGAAAATGCAGATCTAGACTCCAGATCCAGTTATAAAAGATCTGTGTTTTCCAGCACACTGATTAAAATAATCCATTCCACTTTGCCCTAATATCCGGTCATTTTCCAGCACATACTTAAGCATTAGCATTAGCATCTCCTAACCCACAGGTCTGTGTCCTAACCATTAAGTTGTTATCAGAATAAATCCCTGTTCAACATGAGTCTGACAACTAAATAAGTAGATAAATAACTTTAAATTTTAGTACGTGCTCTGATAGGCCGGGATCGGATCGGAAGTGAAAAAAGCTGGATGGGGACATCCCTAGTCCCGTTTCATCTGCTGGACCTCCGCTAAAACTGTCCTTAAAAGGCAGAATTTTCTGGAAAAATAGCCGTCCACTTTGCTTCAGAGCATGTTTTGCTTTCTAACATCACCTCAAGCTTAAAGAACACACAATTTCGTTTTTTTAAATTTTTTTTATCCAGATAAAATGATGCTGCATTCACTGTATGTCAGACTGTAGGAAATATACCCGCCTCCTTTGCTTTTTGCCTGGCCCTGAATGTGGTCCAACGTCCTGATTGCAGTTTATCTTTAATATAAATGCAAACCAATCAGAGCAAAGCTGCAGTTAGAGCTGATCTCTGGCCACTCT